TACATATACATACATACATACATACATTCATGGAGTTGTATATATGTAGACCAATGTGTATGCATATTTTCATACACATGTATACACGTACGAACGAGTAATTTATATTTTCATCCCCCATACTGATATCCCTCATGTTGATAGTATTGATGTATCGCGTGTGGCTTTCAACACTACAAACACTCATGTACCCGAAAAATTACACGCCTATATGCATACACTTTTGCCCGAGTTGTATAATAGTTTGTCGCGAAGATTGAATCTCACCTCGGCAAGGTAGAGTCCTCTACCGAGTTCATATTGCTCCATTCCCAATCTACGCATACAGGTAAGTTGTGGCACCGCCAGTTCAGACATCCAGTTTGTCGAGGACGGCATTCTCACGGTTACATACGAAGACGGTGATATTTGTCCGTCTGGCAATGCAACGCGGTCGTCTACGTTCACCTTCTACTGCGATCCGATAGGCAAGGCCGACAAACCCCCCACGCTGGTTAAAAACGAACACGATTGCGAGTATGTTTTTGCCTGGGAAACTCCCCATGCGTGTGGCATCGGGGGAGACAGACAACCGCCGTCGAATGAGGCGCCCAAACCAGCAGCTACCCCCAAACATCGTAGCCATTTTGGCAGGACTATTGGTTTAACGTATGTGTCACGTTGGGTGTAGCTACATAACCTCATTCGCCAATGCCATATGACCAGTATATTTGTAGTGTTGCGGAGTTAACTAGCAATAAGCATTGAAACCACATATGTAGGCAGGCGTGTTAGACTAGCATGTGTGGTGTACGTGTGTCTAATTAATTTCCACAACTACGGCAGAGCGTGAAAATGGATTGTACCAAAGTATATGCGGTGTTGTATGTGTTGAAAATTGCTCCAGTGCGACTTAAGTGTTGACGTATGTGTAGTGTGCTGTCTATATATGTAGATCCCATATTCATAGCCATTCTGGAAGAGTTATCAGACTGGTATACGAATAGATCTGAGTACGTACGCCGAACATTCCCTTTCTGGTCGCTGGTTTATTACTTGCGTAGTTGTATGTATTCCTTAGGTGCACTTATGTGCTCGGTGTTGTATGTGTATCAAATAATCACGTTTCAGACGTATCGTGCTCGCGGACCGTGATGTACATTCTATGTGAAGCAGAGAGGCAGTAGTATCAGCCGTGTACTTATCCTGAAGGTGTTTCCCGCACTCAGATAAGCTGATTGAGCGAGTCTTTAGGGGTTTAAACCCTAAACCCTAAAAAACCCTAAACCCTTTTGTTCTGGAACAACTTCCAATCCGTGCAAGTTGCGTGTGCGAGCATGATACTACTGAGTGTACGGTCTTTTCAGGTTAAATGGGAAGTTACGTTGAAGACGATTTTTTTTCTGAGCGTGTTGGGCTTGGAATACATGCGTATCAACTTTATCGCCTGAGTGTTGTGTATATGTCCACAAACCCTATGCTGCACACATCTGGCATCTGCTTGGGAGTTGGTCGCGATCTCCTACTTGGTTTGTTTTTCCTCTGGTCTTTACACATGCGTGTGTGATCGTTTTGATACCTTTCCCCGTTTACAAAGCCACCATCAATTCGCACGCACCTATACAGCCGATGTTCAGGTTGCTAAATTGAACAACCCATCCGTATCCATAAACTCAGTACCTCATATTCTCCCCGCCCTCCACCACAGCCTGCTTTTGCTGATCGTCTGCTATGTCGTGGGGGGATCATGCTATAACTTCTTCGTTAAGAAGGAGTCAGGCGTGTATATCTTTCCCCATTGGATTATCTGGTCCGGTCTATGCGGGGGCCTGTATGCAGTGGTGGCTGCAGGTCTGCAACGAGCTGGCGCTGGGCGTGGGCGGGCGAACGCCAATGACCGTGTGGTAAGTTTCATGTTAGTATGTAAGAGTTGCACGCACATAGCTTACAGAAGTATATGGAATTGTGCGTATGTCTGTATGTATTTTTAAATTCAGTGAGGGTTGTACCTGTGTATTCGAATTTTTGTCCCGTACAATATTCAGGTTTACACAGTAGTGTTTCAGATCACAGCCTGCGATATGGGGTAACTCTTTCACGATTAGTGTGCGAAGAGTTGTCTTTTGAGTAGTCAAATGCGGCAGTCGTCTGTTCACAGTACCTCTCCGTTGTTTTTGTAGGTCGGCTGTGTTGAGCACCCGAGCTTACCGCATGTGTTGGCACGGGTCTTTGCGGGTTATACATTCAATTATCAATCCAATACCGACTGTACCTTTCCAAATCAGTATTTGTGTTGGTAGAGCAAGCTTTTACGTGTGCGTGTGTGTGTGTGTGTGTGTGTGTGTGTGTGTGTGTGTGTGTGTGTGTGTGTGTGTGTGTGTGTGTGTGTCGTGTGTGTGTGTGTGTGTGTGTGTGTGTGTGTGTGTGTGTGTGTGTGTGTGTGTGTGTTTGCAATCAAGTGCACCACTAACACGGCTTGCACTCTATTGCTTGCCATTCTATCTTCCCTGTAGTACGCGTCAATACCGCAAACGGACGAACCACTGCTGAATAGCGGCAGCGACGAGAGTGACAGCGACGACGACCAGATGCTGCACGTTTAGAATAGCCCGGTGATAGTGTCTTGTCGACTATAAGTTCGTGAGACTTTCAGGTCACGAAGATATATCAAGCTGCCATAATACCTATCGCCTAGTTGAGAACGTCGCTAAATTGCACTTAAGTATTGATTTTGTACATGGTACAATAATGGATTTTGGAATATATAGCCGTTACCATATGTAATATAATCATGGGTATATGGCGCCATCAATTTTTGAACGCGAAGATTCAATTCCCAAAGGTGGGATTGGGATTCGACAGTGGTTCGAAGAAATGCCTTGGAAGCAGAATTAGTTTCAAATAAAAGTATCAGTTTTTGTTTGTCTATACTTGCAATTCATCGTTTGACATGATTAGTTTCAAATACAAGTATCCGATATTGTTTGCCTACATTGGAGAATATCTTCCTTGGACAGATTGTGCAATATTTAATTTGGATGACGTGTTTCTAGAAAAAAACAACAATACAATGAAGTGTCTTCCCCCATTACAGGCAACTCAATGTTTATCAGCGACATCGACTCAAAAAAAAAAAGACTTATTCTTCACATGCATGATAATTCCAAACTCAAAAGCAAAATACTGAAATGATTTAGAAGAATATTGGACTTCAATACAGAATACATACGTACAAAAACTCCAAGGATGTCGCCCACCAAGATGTGCATGACTGCCAAATGCGAGCATTTTAACGCAATCTTCATGAAAATTCCAGAGGGGCAGGCGACGATTCCTTGGTAGGCCAGATGGGTAAAATCTGTAAACCAGATTTATTCATATCGAGTTGTTTATTCGAGTACACAATCTCATTCTTATTTTCTCATTCTTAATCACATTCGACTACTAGATACAGCTCAATAGAACTCGGCTGTTTCCTTGCCTCCTCCAACTGACCTGTCATACGTTTCCAAATGTATGCATGCATATGTATACTAATACACACATACATATTTGTATACACACACACACACATATATATATATATATATAAGCAAGTATCGTGTATATACTCATTTGGGCTGATGTTTAAAGTACACACCGACTATACTAATCGGTTACATGCGAATGAACATATATCACTCTTACGCCAGTCGGGCACAGAGTGTAGCACTACGAACCCCTGCACTACCTAAAGAGGCTCACACTTCCCCACAGACAGCACATTATACAGTTGTTGTTGAAGGTTGTAGGACACGCATGTCGAGCTCATTTGAAGCACTTGGGTAATGTTTTTACCTCAGATGGAGCTACTGATAAACCATATACTGCCTATATGTTATTTGTGAATAAAGCTGATTCCCTGGCTTAATAGTAGCGAGCACTGATGGCTGTTCCGCATACGGTCACTCTCCCCGAGAAGGAAACCATCCGCAATCCCTCCTCCTAGTATGCTCCTACAAACTGCGAGTGTCCTCTCCTATCTCGACCACAGCACCGTCTCCTAACCCGTGCGTTACATGCTTGCATAGAGACGCATAGACCACTACAAGTATCATTAGCACAGGCGTGCAGTGTCCACAGAGTTTTCCTACCCATATACGCGAACGCGAGCGCCAAGGCACCACAACAAGTTCATCCGAAATCCCCCCCCCACCCCGCCAAACCCATCCAAACGCCCCATTTCGCTTCTTTTCTCCTGCCCTACCCATGACGAAACGTTATACTAGGGCTAAGGAAGGGGTTCTTTGTCGCTCACGTCTTGGGCAGGCTAGGCTGTGTACTGACGGCGTTGGTCGAGATACTTCTCCTCACGGCCCAGCGATTGACCGCCTGGCTCTCGGGACGTGAAAGGGTGGCGTTGAGTGTCTTCTTGCGGGTGGCCGGAGAAGTACCGGCCGATGTTACAGGCACAGCCGGAATCGATTTAGATTCGGCTCCGTTGGCCTGGATTGCGGCGAGCGAAATGGGTTTGGGGTTCTGTGTGTTGCGCGGGAATTAGATAGATAAATTAGAATGATACTAAAGGATGGTCAAGGCACACGTAAGTGCTTGGAATATTGTATATATTTTGGAGATTGGGTCGAGGGCTAGAATCAGGAATGATGAGTTGGTAAGAAATAGATTGAATGAGTACTGACCGTACAAACTATAAATTTTAAGCACATACAAGGACATTGTTAACGCCCCTTTGGAGGAGACAATAAAGAAGGCCATTCTATTGCAAATAAATATTCACACTTCAGCAATTGCGTGCTTTTAGGATTAAGAAAATATCAATCGCAATCGCACTATATGTATGTATAATGAGGACAAGCGACTAGGGAGAGAGCTCACCTAAATAGTGATTCGTGCGATTGAAGAAGAACCCGTAATCATACATCCAGCGCAATATTTTATACAGACCACACTCACAGACAGTATAGCATGATCATAAAGTTACAAAAAACTTGGTTGTCGTGTACGAGTACAATGTGCGATTGATAATGTGGAAGCATTGAACCTGCTAATTACATATCTTGGAAACAGAGAGAGCCACTTGTGAAGGTAAACTAACAGGACGAACCGTAAGACATCACATAGACCACATATGCACATTCGACGCCCTCGTTCCAATGTATACATCCTAGCACGATACATACAACACAGACTACCAAAATACGTATACATCATTGGGACCACCACAAGCTATCTCCAATACAGAGTCCACAGACACATGCCTTGAGTGTCTGCCAAGCACGAGCGTTCCCTCTCGAAGGCGGGTTGACAGTTGTCGTCTGAGCCGATTTCTCTGAAGCGCCGCTGGCCAAATTGAGTCGGTTCAGTGTAGACGAACTGCCCGAAGACCCACCCGTACGGCTTCTCGACAGTGTGTTTACTTTGCTCGTGAAAATGTTGCTACTGTTACTTCCGGCGGCCGTGTCACTGACGCGCGAGCCGAGCACGTTGCCCTGTTTGCTGTAGTTGTTGTTGGTGTGGCTGGATGTGCTGCCGTGGCGTTGGTGGTTGTTATGGTTATTGTTCTTGTTGTCGTTCCTGTCTCGCGGGTTGCCCGAGTGGCTGTGGTCGGATTTGTCGGATTTGTGGCTGTAGTTATTGTTTCCCGTCCCGCCCCACGATCCATCGGCATTCGAGGTCCGTCGATTGTGACTGTTGTTGTTACTGTTACTGTTATGGTTACCATTGTAGCTCCCCTTGTTCTTACTAGTACTGGATCCATCTTTAGCATTCGCATCCAAGTGTTGGTGATGCTGGTACACCTCATTGTGTGCCTTGAAGTTGACCGAGACGGGCCGTTGCGTCTGGCAGATGGACTTGAACCTCTCACCTATTCTATTAATAGTTTCTTCGTAGTCCTTGGACGACCACTGTGTCCACACGGCTAGTCGATCGGTCATCTTGCGGATAGAGACAACAGCACCCATGACTTCGCCTTGGTCCTCCATAGTCTCGCCTACCAAACCCAACATCTGTGGATGAGGTATAAAACGGCAAGTGTTTAGTTGTGTGTATACATATATAGTTTACATATTGTACACGCAAAATATCGTTTATGCGAATGTGTCGCATCATTATTGCGCATACAGAAATACATGTGCTCATATACAAATGTAGAGAGCGACACGTCAATATGCGAGTACATACGTACAGATACGTCACCTTTCGACCTCGATGAATAACTAGACTAGACCATAAATAGACGTCCTAGTATAAAAAAATCTGTTAGTAGTCGCTTCTGAAAGTTGAAATGAAACTTAACGAGGAAGTGCTGCTTATGAGAAATTGTACTGCCATGACACTACACTGGACAAGCACTTATCGAGCTTATCCATATCATATACAGCTCAGTTTGAGCCCAACAATTCTTCCCAATCATGCCTTCGTATACGTGTGCAGGTACCGATAGAACTTTGGAGTCAGTAGTACCACACACGAGCTATACAACACACAGACACAGACATATATATATATATATATATATATATATATATATATATATATATATATACATATCGCAACATACATACGTACATATCACAAAATACATACTTATATATCATAGCATACTAACATAGCTACCAGTAATCCCCACCTACCGTGGCCAGCCAGCAAGTATTCAGTTTTTCCTCACGTTTGGAGGACGGGATTCCCAAAGACCATTTACCTCCTATTTGGTGCAAAAACGATATTCAGAAACATGATAAAGTCTTTATGCGCTACAAATATGAAACGTCGATATATATATATATATATATATATACTATTTTGTTCTAAATTAAAAAATCCGGTTTTAGAATGTTTGATTTCATTCAGGAAAAACCAGCTACAAATCATAGCAAACCACTTACACGCATAGACAGTGTTAAATGTATATGTTCACCACATACATAAGTAAACATAGATTTCTATATTGCTTTACAAACATGTGTAAAAGGATCGGCAGACCTAGGATATATTCTTACAGCAGTTCAATACATAGACCCCCCATTCACAAATTTAAATGCACAGAAACGGTCAGAAAACACACGGAAGTAAAAGTACGAGAACTAAAACGAGAGTCCCTGGGGACATGCATATATTTCATATTTTATATATATATATACATATAAGGAAAAGTAAAAGCATATGAATACATATACACATATACACAAATACACATACGTATGCACATACATACAGACATAAATACACACACACACACAATATATAGACAAGTAAAAGCATATATATACATATACACATATACACAAATACACATACGTATGCACATATATAAATACATAAATACACATACACACACACACACATATATATATATATAAATATATCTCGCTCACAAACGTATATAAGTTTACGTTTCATCCGAGATATGCATGCAGATGAAAGTATAAATACACAGCGACGGACTAGCATCTTCCGCTCTAGTGTTGCTTATGCTCTATGAATTCAGAATAAGATAACAAATAACGAGCAAGTATTCCATTATATGCAAAGTAGATAATTTTACCCATTCCTATTTAATGGAGTACCACCATGCCGCAACTACATATGAATACATCGACAACATATGAATATATAGAAAAACATATATATATATACGATATTATTTAAAAGATATGTACAATGGGTGTTCGTATTGTTTATGAACGCGCACAAGTACGCCTACAAGTACACATTCTCTGTACATAAGGACACATATATGTAGATCTAAAGTACCACACGAGCATATCTTAGCAATGTACAAGTTTACGCTCATTTATCAAACTAACTTCAAATACAGCACGTGGTTATAATATCGCGATGTTTAACGACTAAATTCTTAATTTCGCTTGTAAATGCTCCATGTACATGTATATATATATGCCCACCTCAAGTACATATGAAGTAAATCTGAACAACAACACACACTCATATGTAACAGTAGATCACAATTGGAGGTCCACTCACAACCGAGTATCTATAGCCTATATATTCTTACAACGTCCCAACATAGCGTCAATCTCACCTTGCTCGTTCATAGGATCCTCCCACATGGGCTGCACCCCCGACTTGAACAGCCAGTAGTTACTACCCCCTCCCAGTCGGCTCGGAGGTACAATATTATGATACGTAGCCCAGAACATCTCCACCGTATCAAACTCGGAAACCTTGGTCAAGCTACCTATCCAGACATTTGTGTTTTTGGCCCTGTTACCCTTGCCCTCATCGTGCCATAGAGTCCATTTGTGTTGCAGAGGATGCCTTGACATAAGTTCCTTCTCTGAGAGGATTAGTGGATCAACCACCACCGTGCTGTCATCTTTCTCATCACTGTGTGCATCCTCTGTATTCCCCTTTGTGATACTAGTGCTTACTTTAGTATTTGTATTTGTATTCATATTTACTTTAGTGTCTGCGTTTGCTCTCCTGGCACTACTCGTGTTATCTGCGAGTTCTGAGGGGGGTTTGTCGGTCTTACCATTTTTACTACTGTCAAATTGGCCCACCGCACTGGCTAGGTCAGCCATGACTGTCGGTAAAGCAGGGTGTAGTTATGCTACAATGATATGTTATACTTTTGAAATCTCTGTACATATACACGCATATACTGTCACTTGCGCTTGTATACACATACAACGAACAAAGCTGTATACAAATATATCAAATCTATGAAGTTCTTCAGTTATATCAGTGTGAAAGTCTGCGACTGAGTACATGCAACAACTTGCGGAAGTTTCGCCTATTGTGCGCGTTGTGCTGGTAGACTGCTAACTACGCCACCACCTCCGTATAACAGATTTGGCCCAAATATGGATTAATATGTGCTTTAAAGCTTACCAATAATCAGAACTGGAGTACTATAACATCAATGGCGTTAGTGAATACAGCAAACAGCGTAGTATGCGCTAACGTGTTGTTGTCGAATCGTTATGGTGCAGAAACTGACTAGAGGTACATAGCAAGCGTGAGCGATATACCAAATATAAATATTTGTGCTGAGTTTGTCGACTACTCTACAATTAATGTCATTTGTCACCAGTAAAAACTTTCAATTGTACCGGCATACATACTCCCACAACATAAACCAAGGTTTTTAAGCTTGACAAAACTGAGTTATGTAATATGACTTTTATTAGATTAGATTTTCTGCTTTATATATATCCATAGTTTTCGTTACACGAGCTCTACTAGGCCAGGGCTGCACTATGGAGTACTCTAGTTAATATTTACTTCTTAGTTAGAGTCAGAATCCGATACGTATGGATCGAAAAACAGATCTATATCGTCGACACTCTCATCGACTTGCATGCTCGTTGGCCTGTCTCTGTCACAGTCAGACTGTGACTGTATGTCTGATTCTGAATGCTCTGCTGAATCGTCTCCGTGCAATTTGTAGTCGTCAATAAGCGCCAGTGCGTCCTGTATGTAATTCGAAACACTCTTCCTCTTCTCGCGAACGCACTCTACCCCTTCCGCCAAGATACCATCGAGCTTCAGCAACACCTTCTCCATGGTATCTGTGTATGCCAGAAGATCATACTGCACGTTGCCCTTCTCGTTGTGGACAGGCTCTGAGAACACGTGTTCATATTTACTGATAAGCGCGTCTGCCTCGGATTTGATAGCGGCGATTGACTTGAGTTTGTTCACAATCTTTCTATCCGATTTGACGTATCCTGCGCTGCGTACCGCTTCTGTCACAATGGAAGCTGCTCTTTCTTTTCGGTTCTGTGAAGCCTGGCGCCAGAAGCGCTGTATGGTGACAATGGCGGCCAAAACTCTCTTCACCTTCTCCTCTTGCAGCTTCTGCTTCTTTGCTTTCAGTGTATTGTGCACGGGTTTGTATCTGTTTTGTCTGTGTGCGGCTCTGGCCAGTTGCTCAGCTCGTGCTGCTCTCAGCTGTGCATTCTTACGAGCTTCTTGTTCTTGATAGTATCTCTGTCTGAGTGCCTCCTCATGCGCTCGTCTAGCGCTTTGCTCTCTTCGGAGTTCTTCTTGCATCACCTTCTCCCGCTGTAGTCGGAGGTATTCATCATATCGATTCTCTCTTGGGGAGTAGTAGTTTGGTTTGCGATTGAAAAACATGTCGTTGGTATATGGGCTATTGTAGAAGAAATCCATTTCGTAGTATCCGTGGGTACTTGGGTATTTGTATTTAAAATGTTATTTATATGTTTGTTTTGTTGTTGTTGTTATTATAGCAATTGTGAGATTAAATCGAATGCCTGGTTGTATTTATACCTTCCGTGAGATGTGATACGATTAAAACAATACCATCAACAATGTCGAGAGGACGATCTCGAATATTTTTGATACAAGTTCTTTTAAAATACGCTGATACGCGTGACTGCGTGAGGCAAGAGAATACAACTCATACAACTCTTAAAAGTCTAAAACAGAGATGAAGAGGCCTCTTCGGACTTCGAGAGTAATCGCCTTTTTTTTTTTGGGATTGGAATATTTTAGACCAAACAGGAAAATACCGACATTTTCGAGATAAGTGTTGCATTCCGGATTTTCGGTTATTCCAAAACCAGTTTTGTTATTTTCTGGGCCTTCTGTGGCGCCAATATTCACTATGTAGGGGATTTGATCAGAATTATTCAGGAACTTTCCCGAACATATCTTAATAATCGGGAATATCCGTGAATAATCGCGAAGTAATATTTTTTTCCTGAATATTTGTCTTGATTGTGTCCTTTTTTTTCATGACCAGTATTTGCGACGATATTAGTGGACAAGAATTCATCATGTACCTAGCTTTTAATTTTTTATTGTGCTCGCGATTTCCGACGCCGACGGGCCTCAGCCGGTCGGCCCTCGGCCTCGGGCCCTCGGCTACTACACAGTATAGAATTATAATCGACAGTGTGTATATATAGTGCTACGCTACTTTAGCAACCAGCACTATCGACACACATGCAAGAATAAGAATTTAATACAAAATACACAATGGGTAAGAATTACTACGATATACTCGGGGTACCCAAGGGTACCAAAGACGAGGCGGTGCTCAAGAAAGCATATAGAAAACTGGCTATGAAGTATCATCCCGATAAACAAAGCGCCGAAAACAGAGAGGCGGCTACAAAGAAATTCCAAGATATCTCTGAGGCATACGATGTCCTAGGTGATCCTAAGAAGCGCGAGATATTTGACATGTATGGAGAAGAAGGTTTAAAGGGTGGTGCTCCTCCCCCAGGCGAATCTGGGGGTATGCCAGGTGGTATGCCTGGTGGCTTCAGCTTCAGCTCATTCGGCGGCAGACCCGGAGGAGGTAATGGAGGAGGTTACCAGTTCTCATCACAAGACGCCAATAACATATTCGCACAGTTCTTTGGAGGCAATATGGGCGGTATGGGTGGTATGGGCGGTAGTGGTGGCCAGAGAATGGGAGGTATGGGGGGTATGGGAAGTCCGTTCGACGGCATGGATATTGACGGAGGAGGGGGCTTCGGAGGGTTTGGTGGCCAGTCACAACAGCAAGCGTATGCCGCCGAGGTTCCACCGAAGACACATACCCTGGCCTGTACATTGGAAGAACTGTACAATGGTTGTACGAAGAAGATGAAGGTCACCAGGAGGGTAGAAGATGAGGCCACACGCACAGCTCGCAACGAGTCGGAAGTGCTGGAGATTAAGGTGGTGCCCGGTTGGAAATCTGGTACTAAAGTCACATTCCCCGGATCAGGGGATAAACGTCTGGGCAAGGCACCCCAGGATGTTGTATTCGTTATTAGTGAGAAGCCACACAAGACTTTCCAGAGAGTGGGGGATAATTTGGAGGTAGAGGTGCCACTCTCGTTGAAGGAGGCTTTGACAGATGCTGCAGTAGCTGTTCCGACTATAGATGGCGGCGCGCCTGTGAAGCTGAATTTATCTGGACCTATCCAGCCGAATACGAAGAAGGTTCTAAGCGGTAGGGGTATGCCAAAGAGTATGAAGAAAGGCGGTGGTGCAGGAGATCTCATAGCGAGGTTTAAAGTGAACTTCCCAACTAGCTTATCAAGCATCCAAAAACAGAAATTATTAGAGATATTGTAATTAACTCAACAGTACATACTTTAAAATAAAGAGAATATAATATATGAATAGGTATGAAGTTACAAAATTTCTATATGTAGTTTGTCGAGAGTTTTTATGTGTCGTTGGCGAACTTGTATATTCATAAACTGCGATTCGGACAGTGTTTGTTGCCGGGTCGTCGAATCGCACTTCTTCAGGCGGGGTTTGAATCGCAGTTGTAGAGACCGGTGCAAACACATCTAGTGTTAATGTAATGCCCATAAACATATTTAGTCGCGCTCAATATGCGTACTCGAACCTACAGATGGCAAATTCAGCTCACATATTCCATAGAGCCGCCGATGTGTGAATATAAACGCATATGCATATTTATAATAACAACGAAGTATTATTCTGAGTTTATACGATAATAGAGAGCCAGCTGTACTGATTACAGTGCAGTGCATATAAAGAAAGAGCATGATTTGCTCACATATTCCATAGAGCCGCCGATGTGTGAATATAAACGCATACGCATATTTACAATAACAACGAAGTATTATTCTGAGTTTATACGATAATAGAGAGCCAGCTGTACTGATTACAGTGCAGTGCATATAAAGAAAGAGCATGAAGAAAGGTGGTGGTGCAGGAGATCTTATAACCAGGTTTTAAGTGAAACTTCCCAACTAGCTTATCGTGCATTTAAAACAGAAGTGGTAGAGATATTGTAATTAACTCAATAATACATCCCTAAAAAAAAGAAATTTAATATATAAATAGGTATGGAGTTGCAATATTTCTACATAAAGTTTGTCGAGAGTTTTTATGTGTTGTTGGCGAACTTGTATATTCTTAAACTGCAATCCAGGAATCGCTTGTTGCTGGGGCTTCGAGTTGCACTTCTTCAGGCGGTTTTGGTTCGCAGTTGTAGAGACCGGTGCAAAGACATCTAGTGTTAATGCAATGTCCATGAAATCATTTAGTCACGATCAATGTAGGTTTTCGACCCTACATACGGCAAATTCAGCTCACATATTCCATACAGCCGCCGTTGTGTGGATATAAACGCATACATTGAAGAAGTATTATATTTAATTCTGAATTTATGAGCGAGTTGTACCGAGTACGACAGTACGGTATGTACAGTCCATATAAAAATATCAAAAAGGGAATTGGAAGAAAAGGCGCCATTTGCCAATTGCCACATACACAAGGTTCCGAGTCTTAAATAAAGACTCGCGAAGTCGTAAACACAGGTAACTCAACACATATGTAGTCTACTCTCCATTTGTGCAGTCGCGGTAGAAGAACATTAGTAACAACAGTTGCATCTGAGGAAGGCAATGCATATATCGTTATAACAATACTCGAGGTATTTCAGAACCATTATACACTCATTCAGATCTTATAATTCGACCGGATGGAGCATTCCAAGATGGAAGCTGATGCAAACTCTGCTGAGATAAGAGGGAACCTACAGACTCTTCAGGAGCTCAGTATGCCATCAATAGCCTCAGTTTTGTTGCCTGCCGCGGGTCTCGGTAAGAATTTGTTTGACCTGATCAGCATACTTAAGCATCCGAGCTGCCTATGGGAAAATCAGGCGGGTTACAAGCTTGTGTTAGTTTTGAGTATATACAATCATAAAATGATGGGCATAAAACCAGACAGCTCATATGTACTTAATCACAAATCAATTCGAATGGTGACTGTAACCTTACGTGTCATGTTTGCTGTCAACACACTAGGTGTTACACCACGATAGCTAAATACCATCATCCAACTGATGCAGTTCTTGTACACTCTGCTATGGTTGTGGTTGTTGATTCTTACGAAACTTGAATGTATGTAAGCTGTATTCGCATTATACATAGTTATGACGATGTCCCCAAGTCGCTTGCGTTCATCTCGTATTAAATCGCATTTTGCCAAAGAACTTTTTCTTCAGACACAGTTTACATCTTAACGTTCTTGATTCTACATTATAGAAACACTACATAGAAACACTACATAGAAGCCATTTACGAGTGTTTATCGACTGCTTGTGCTGAGATCTCATTGCCTCCTACTGACAATATCTTTTCATGTATCACTCAGTTTAGTTTCTTTTGACTATCCCAAATCATCGCTTGTGTTCAACTATATTCAACTTCTACAACAGCCTACGCTACGACCCGCGATTCGTTTCTATTCTTCGTACTTTGAGTCCTATACGTTACTTCCAATATTCTCGTAATTTTGCTTGCAGCGAGGTTACAATGTTTCTTTAGTCACCGGATCTTTAATTTTTATTATATATACAAGCTCAAATTATTCACGTCACTCCACACTCCTTGTATTTAAACATACAGAATTGTACACAATCGTCCCTGTCACTCCTATAGCTGTATATAAAACCATATAAATATACATATAAAATCACAAATCCAAACATTGCATATGCCCCTCCTAGGCGGTGCTTGCGGTTCGCTGGGATACATCCATGCCATTGTCACTAAACAACCGTCGTATGCTCGACACGCTGCGTTTGTGGGTGCCAACACCGGGCTGATTGGCGTCGTGTTTTTCGGTATGTTTTGAGAGATATCTTTCAGGTATATAAAATGATTAGTGTTTGTCGATAGTCTATGGCAGGGGTATCAATGTAGCCAATGTTTTGTTGTGTTGAGGCGTATTGTTGGGGAAATACAATACCATGGCTTTCCGTGATTAGACCCTCTCTCTATTTGACTGTTTTGAATCTCTCCACGCGGGGCAAATATATATGTCTTTGCACGCGGGTGAGGTACTGTATACTCCACTTTACTTAACTGGATTTCCTGATGCCACTATCAGCTGATACATGGAGGTCTACTCTACATTTGAGTGCCTCTGCTGCAACCTTAAGTTGATTCTAAGCCCCCTCCCACCCTTGTGCGCTTTATTCTGCTCGTTGTGTGAACGTATATGTACAGGGTTCCGAGCGTTCCTCAACCACAACCAGCCGGGTCAAGAAATGTCGGCTACTATCATGTCCGGCATGTTGGTAGGCAGCTTCGCCGCGCTCAAAGGTGCGATACGATACTTGCTAGTGTGAAAGACGGTATAAGAATGCAGTGATATCAATCGTGTATTATTGTATGAAACTGTTTTGGACATGCAGAAACTTCAAGGCGAGGCAACTTCTCGCTCTCTGCTGCCGTATAGTGTGTGGCAAGCTGTCATATCCAGTGTGGAAAGTGGGTGAAATGTACACGAGTTGTTCGTGCTCTGCTCGCCAGGCGTAATGCACTATTCAAGCATATAAGTATCAGGATGTATATCTCTTTATGCAGTGACAGTGCAGCCTGAGCATATGATTTCCATCGATAGACACTTTCATAGCACTATGATCGGGCGATTAGCAGTTATGGATGCTAGTGAATTAGTGTGCGTGTGCATGTGTGTATTCACCACATCGACTGGAAATTTTGATTCTGACAATACATTCCCATAACATTGATAGTAGTAATGTACAATTCATGGTGTGTTTTTGGTTAAATTTTTGTATAGCTAGCTCTGGAGGCGAGTTATATATATAT